AGGTGCATCTCTTCGGGCTATTGGATACCTTTTTCTCGTTATATGTGTGCGTGTTCTTTAGATCCTCAGATGGCTCTAGCACTTTCGTGACCACGGGCTGAGAGTCTTCGCTAGATTTTGGCATTTAGCAACTGACATACGGTTTAATGTGAAGACAACAACAACAACAACAACAACATTGCAACCTAAAACCTATCTCAGTCGTCCTGAAGCACCATCGTAACCTGTGCATTCAAGCAATGTGCGAGTACAGGAGGTGCTACGATTGTATCACGTTTTGCTTGGCGCCTCTTCTGATCCGTAGCAACGATAGTAACGGAGTGTTGGTAGCATACTCAAGTGTAAATTCTAGAGATCCAGTGGTAGGGGTACCAGAAGAGCCAGTCTCACACCGTCACAGGGTTCGGGTAAAAAGCACTATCGCCGTTCCCTGAGTTCTCCTGTGTAGTTGGATTGTAAACGTGCTTGAAAAAAGTATCGAAAATACAGAATGGGACAACAATCTTACCTTGGTCGATTTGCTTGTGCCCTGTGCCCGTGCCCTGTACTGTTCCACCTTTCCCTCCATACGTCCCATTCTCACGTGGTGTTGTTCGATTACACCGGGGGTAGCTTGCACGGCGGTAGCGGTTTCGACGCTCCCAAAAGCCATCGCTGCATGCAACGGACCCTATCGTCTTCAGGCCGGGCACGGCCGAGCGGGTATCTTCATATGGTCTCACGTCAGTGATGAGCGGTGCACGATGGTCCACGACAAAGACGGGAACTCCGTCGTCAGGATGGGAGCTTCGGGCGACATGGCCCAAGCTTCGTTGACTGCCGCAGTACATACTGCCTTTGACAGCGCGAAATGGTGGGGGCGCATCATGGACGAGGGACGTATCCTGCCATCTGTTGGCGGCGGAGCCAACGTCATGTGTACGTCTGCGGGGCAAACCACGTCCTTGGTTTTTGATCTCGAAGAGTCACGACGGGTAGAACGTACGTCACCGAAGGAGACGGAAAGCTGGAACGCGACGTCGACAGCATCCAACAGCATAGGGTTTCAACTTTCATCGCGACAGGATGGTTCCGTCATCAGTGCAACGTGTAGCAGAATCAACGTTCGTATTTCGCCAGCAGCGGGATTGAGGCACGGTGAAGGGGCAAGCAGCTCTGTGGCCGGTGACCGGCTCGATGGAGTCGATAGTGATGTTGCGAGCAAGCTTCGCGTCAAAATCACTGTGGACGGTGTTGTGGCGACGTCTTCGTTGGAGACGGCGAGTACCCAAGGATTCGGAATATCTCTCGTGAGCGTTGAAGGCACAATCGTGTTTGAGGTTTGTCTGCTCGATCCTGAGGAGGAAATTCGTGGTGGCGGTGGACCCATTGTTCCAGGAAATTGCATGGCTGAGACGGTGTTGATTCTCGAGATTTTCTCCACAGAAACACAGATAATCCAGCGAAGGTCGTCGAGCGGAACAATGCCGTCCGGCAAGATACCCTATGGTGTGGAGTCGTACAAGGGCGACACTGGGAGTACGCGCGTCGTTTTTCTTGTCGGTCTCGAATCGGTGGACGGCTACAACCTCAGCACGCTGAACCTGATGAAGCATCTTCCTCCTAATTTTCGAGTTTCCGCCCTGGACGTGTCTTGCACATGTAAGAGTCGATGCATGTAAGGTGGTACGCCGTTGCCGCATAGCCAATAATGGTTCTGAGGAGTTCTACAACCAGCAAGTGGATCATGAAATGTACAAGCACACGTAGTGGCCATGTGACGTGCTCGCCAACGATGACGAACATATCAAACGCAACTAACTACTAGGAGAAGAAATGACGAGGACAAGCATAGTACAGCTCTCCAACTCGTTGTAGACCTAGAAACCGGTACTCTCCATAGGTATGACAGGATGATATGCCACCGCGTGCACCAGCGGCAACCGACAGTGTGAATCTGGTGGCATTCTCAGGGGGGTGAAATGGGGGTCAATCGATCGAGTTTGATATAAGAATGAGGCTAGTTTCGACATTTTCAAAACCAGCCAGCTTACGGCTGGCATGGGAACAGGCGGAGAGGGTCTATGACGCCACTAGCCTATGTGCAATGAGTGGCGAGAAGCAGATGTCACGTCCAAAATGACAAATAGAACGAGTCGCCCTGGTACGATGCTGTACATACTGTGTTTAGGTTGAGCCTGCACCAGAATCGACCATCGCAAGGTGAAAAAGAGTTTTGTGATTTGTTTGAGAGCGGAGTTTTGCCCCGCCAATGTCCGCCAAGCTCTTGTCAGTAGTTCCCAATGTTCTCAAAAAAGGAGTTTCGAAAACCGAGGACGAATGCCGTGCAATAACCGGCATCATTTGGAGGGTTCAGTCCATCCCTTCATCGAGGACCAGCTTCTTGTAGAAGACCGAGTATATAATTTTCCAACGAAGTTGGTGACGCTTTAAAAATCGTTCACACCTCCCTACCCTCGTTGATGCCTTTGCTGAATGTTGGAGAAGCGGGTGACACACCTCTGAAGAACATGCTCGATCAAGAAGCCCTCGAAGTATTCCGCCTGTGCATCGAGCTACCAAGCGAGGTGAGGAACCCGTTGCAAAGAAGTGCCTGGTGTGGCTGCATGTTTCAAACTCAACGCTATATATCTCAACGTTATATTCGGACGAATCGTCCTGATGTTTTTTGGCTGTACTAGGTAAGCTGTTGACTACGCTCATAGTTTGAGACACTCGCTCGCCTTGGAGAAGTAAATATATTTCAAGTCTCCAGCAACGTTGAGATATGTGCTGGTACGTACCGTAAGCTGAATAATTATTAAAGCTCGACCCACGACGAAGAGGACGCCAAAATCCGAGGTGCAACTTGGGCAGGCTCTCGACGTCATTTTTGGCCGCAGAATAAGCGAGTTTTAAATTTGGCGCAGGGGGTGTGACGTTTTACGCAACCACGGTACTCGCCTGCCTCGTTCTCCCGTGTGAGCCTACTACGCCGATCCCCCGCCAAATACCGACCGCAGACGTGGGACGAGGCTCAAAGGCAAAGCGTGACCGTAGGCAATTTACTCTACTCCATGCTCGTGGGCGCCGCAACATGGAGTAGCGTTACCTCAGCCCTGCCAGACATCGCACGAGGGCTAGGCGACCTCTATCGGCACCTGACCAACTTTGACGTGCTCGTCATTTCCAACGGGGCGAAGGACGCCGATGCGTACCTCCTTCACGTCGCAAGGCTAGCTGGGGTTGGCGGCCGGGTGGTTAACCTGGGCGCTCTTGCCGGCGGTTATATGTCGCCGTTTTTCTCCGGAGCGACCGCTCTCATCGGGCCATCGCAATTCGTCGCACACAATCCGGCGGTCCACCGGCACACCGGGGGGCTGCCGGTCAAGGTCTGCCATCCAGTGATTGATGCCGCCCGGCTTCTTGATGCTGCTCAAGCATGTCGCACTGCTGGCGCACAGACACCGGACGCCCGCGGGCAGGCGACAGAGCTCCGCGAATACGGTGCGATGATTGAGGGTGCAACATGTGCAGCTTGCTCTAGCGAGCTTCCGCCCGCAAGGTTTTTCTTCGTCGGGCGAGTGTCGAGAGAGAAGACGCCTGGCATGTTCCTGCGTGCCATGGCGGTTCTTCGGAAGAGATGGATGGAAGGGCCACGACAGAGATTTCAGCCGGAAGGAGTCGTGGTAGGAAACGGCCCGCTTCAAAATCACATGGAAAGGCTCGCATTGGACCTCGACGCAAACGTTAAGTTTAAGGGGTTCCTTTCGGTCGACGCCGTTCCCTGCGAGGTTCAACGGGCGACGGCTCTTGTGCTGCCCTCGACTTGTTCAGAGACATTCGGGATGGTGGTACCCGAGGCAATGCTTCTTGGCGTGCCGGTAGTCACGTTCGGCTTTGGAGGCAGCGGCGAGCTGATAAGCCACATGGAGAACGGCATGTTGGTCGCGGAAGCCACACCAAAGGCGCTGGCAGACGCCCTCGAGCTCTTAGCGACGGACACTGCTTTGAGAAATCGCTTAGGGGCGCAAGCTAGACAGGACGCTCTTCGGGTACTTTCTCTGCCGGAAATGGTCGCTTGCCACACTGACGAATTTGCATCTCCCACCAAGCGTTGAGGTGCAGGTTGGTCCCTGAAGTGTAGAGGGTTGTGTAGCTCTAAATGAGCAGACCGTTTGTCCATCGAACAGAGCCAGGCATTGTTTAAACAGCGATGCGTGGCTACACAAGTTCGATTTGGAAATGCTAATGCTCCACCCCCTCCCCCCCACCGCCGCCCCCGGTGTTTGCCATCGGGGTTGGGTTTTCGTCGCTTGGCAACGACGTTGTAAAACAAGCCGCCCCCCCCGGTGTTTGCCATCGGGGTTGGGTTTTCGTCGCTTGGCAACGACGTTGTAAAACAAGCCAATTCACTTCGTGAACTCGGCAACCAGGTTACCTTCTTTTTTTTTCCCTCCGTTTTTTTATTTTGGCGGTAACCATAATGGTGGTCGAGTAGATCGTGTTGTGCGGGGTGGA